ACTATAACTCTTTGATTGTTATGGGAGACTGGAATGGGGTTTTGGATACGTTAAAGGATAAAAAAACAACTTCTAAGGATGTAACCCTTTCCAGATTACCTAAGTCCTTTTTTGCTATGAAAGATGATTTAGAATTGATGGATGTTTGGAGATTACAACATATTAATGAACGTGACTTTACTTTTTTTTCTCATAGACATGATTCTTTTTCAAGGATTGATTTTGTTCTGATATCGACTGATTTACTTACTGACTGTAATAAAACTAAAATTTTCCCCAGAACTTTGATGGATCATAGTATGGTTTGGATAGAGATTGGTCCAAAAACAAAGAGGAAATCTTGGAGAATAAATGAAAATTTGTTTAATTATGAGGATAAAGTCAAGGCATTGAAGGAATCTATGGAAGAGTTCTTTCAACTCAATATGAACAAGGAAACTTCTATAAATATTGTTTGGGACGCTGGCAAGGCTTATCTAAGGGGAACATTAATTGCTATGAATAATGCATACAAACGCAAGCAAACACAGACCAGATTCAACTTGGAAAAAGAAATTGGGATTAAGGAAAAATTATTATTGCAACGACCAACAGACACTAACCTAAAAAATTCTATTAAAATGCTTAAAAATCAATTCAACTTACTGATTGCTGATCAGGTGGCCACCAACTTGAAGTATATTAAACATAATACATTTGCTAACGCAAATAAACCGGGGAGATGGTTGGCCTACCAAATACGTAAGAGACAAAAAGCGAGGCTTATATCTAAAGTTTTGGTCAAAGATCGTGAAATTTACCAACAAGAAATGATTAAAAAGGCATTTACTGAATTTTATTCGCATTTATATTCTTTAGAGCCTGTAAATAGTAAAGATATTGATAAATATCTACAATCTTCATCTATATATAAACTTACACTGGAGCAGCAGAGAATTATGGATGATGAGATTACAACAGATGAAATTCTAAATGCAATTAAACAATTGAAAGCTGGTAAAGCCCCTGGAACGGATGGTTTAACAGCAACTTATTATAAGTCATTGTCAGCTATATTGTTACAACCCTTAAAAATCTTATTTAATAGAATTATGTCGGGAGAACAAATACCTCAGTCTTGGACAAGAGCCTTCATATCTTTGATACCGAAGGATGACAAAGAAATTTTGGAACTTAAAGATTATAGACCTATCTCTTTGTTGAATGTGGATTACAAAATTTTTGCAAAAATTTTGGCCAATAGACTGATGCAGATATTGCAACATTATATACATGATGATCAAACTGGCTTCATATCTGGGAGATACATGAAAAACAATATTAGACAAATTGTAAATCTATTGGAATATTTGGACAAGAATAATCAA